TCAACCTTAAGCCAAAATTGATAAAGACAGCTTATATATCTGATTTAATGGGAGTCTCGAAAACCTACTTAAAACGAGCATTAACTACCAGTCCTTAATCAACTTGAATGAACTAGGCTGAATACACCTTTTATGTAAAATATACTGGTATTCTCGAAATCTACATATGAACGAAAATAAAGACCATAATTTCGTAGCCTTTCTACCTTCGAGTAAATCATGTATATATTGACAAGTGGGTTTTGGTACTAGCAGTAGCTCTTGCATAAGAACTATAGTCCCCCTAGTTCGGCCAATATGATGAGAAGCCGATTATTGAATTTCTCGACAATTTTATGACAAGGCCTTACAATATCAGTCAATTTTACCTGGCTCTAACGGTTTTCTCATCCAAGATGAATTGCAGTTTTGATCTCGCTTGGGTCTCATCATCCCCCCTTCCAACGGCTTCTAGTATGACCACATTTCTTACTCAAGATGTTTTTATATTATTCTTTTTAGTTCGTTTTAATAGGTCATTATACAGTACTTGTAAATTGATCTCACCAGATAGCTTCATTACCTTAAGCGGAATAGGCATGTCACAGTTCTTATTCCAGATCTTTTGGTAGTCTCGGTGACCTACTTAAACAACAATTCACTTTTACATTTATTTCTACTCAACATCCTAATAATCTATTACATTTGTGCAAATCAAACCTCGGCAACTGCCATGTCTGGAAGACATTCAGTTCGTGACTGTATCAAACTAGCAGTAATTTATGCTATTCATCTCCTCTTATGCCTAGGCTTAGTTTAGTTCCTTGTTCCTCTTTAAACGTTGATGCAAGCTTGATTATCCGTTTTGTTCCAGATAATCTGATTAAGTGTCTAGGTTAGAATAGACATACTTAATGATCTGGGCTTCTAGGCTGGGAGCCAAACTTTGAGTATAAACTATAGGCAAGAATTTAACTCTGGCGCACTAGGTCGTTCATATTTTTGTGACATTCGCTTCAAATAGCCTTACAATCTACGTATTTCTAGTGGAAATTACTCTAAGGCATTGTATCTTTGGTTTCCGGAGCGAATAATTTAATAAGTTCATAAACACAGGCTATCGTAGGGTGTGCATTGAACTCTCCTTCTATTTATACAGTTTTCTTAGTGCCACTTTCTCCTCAATTGAAGTAATAGCTTATCCCGGATTAGACACTCTGATGTGATCTGGTGGGTAGTATTACTTCGGGTCTTGCTCAGATGGCCGTAAGTTTCATTAAAGTGTTGTGTCGATAAAAAATGTGGGCGTAATTGGTGAATGAATCAATAAATGCTGAACTAGTGGATTATTTTATCATGATTTTATCATGAAAGTGCATTTGATTATTAATTCACTTTTCATAAATCTCATAATAATTTTGATAATTTCCACTTCTGTGACTAGGATAGTCCCGGAGCTCAACGACGACGTATTCTGGAGGAGGTGTTTGATGATATGCCAGTGTCCTTTTTCGAGCTGCCTCCCACACTTCCTCCGCCTCCTGATTTTTCAAAGCGCAAAGCGACTTCTCGGGTAGAGCCAATATATGTCAACCAGTTGGTAAAGGAGGCAAATTCACCGGAGGAGGTGAGTTTCTGGAGCCAATTTTCTGAATACTTTTTTCAGAAATTTAAGCCCAACTATCTCAGCGTCTTTGTTCCGATTCTTAAGTATGCATTTAAACGATTAAAAATATACCAAAAAACAGTTAACTTATGGCAATGCAAGCATGTCATAACCTAATTATTCAATCTTCTAATGTACCTTTGCATAATAGGCTATTAA